AAGCTCTTTGAAAGCCATCCATAGGAAGACTATGTAAATAAATAATTATTCAACTGTTAATTAGTTCACTATCTTATGGAACTCCTTCTGCATCTCAGACCGTAAGATGCCGAATCTTTAAAAATTTAGCATATTTTCAATATTGCCTAATTCTCCACTGAAACCGCCAACTACACTTGTTTATTTAATGCTTCTTTCACATGTGGTTGTTTTGCACGCTCTCCGGTGTTAGACAGGTCTTTGTTTGACTGCAATTTGTGGTCAGCAATTACCAATTTCATGGTCTCCAGATCACTTAGGTCATCTTCTCCCAACAACCACTCCATCAGAAAGATGATGCCAGCCGTAACCTGGTCCCACCGCTGAATCAGTTCACACAGGACACCAAATGCCAGGTCCAAAGCTTTAGGGGGAGTGACAGCAGAGAATGGAGAGACTGTAAGAGAGATAGAAAAAGTTTTATAAACATAAATTGCAATGCTCAGTACATCAACATCTTAGCAGTTAGTGGTTTTCTATGTAATATCAAAGGAGAGAGCAGTGTGTTAGCATACAAATTATATACGTGCACTAGCTCCCACCGCATATCCTCACATTCGGTAGAGGCAGAGTGTGATCTATAATTCAACCTGCACTTACGAGTCAATAGAAAATATATCTGTGACCAGGAACAAACAAGAAGGTAAATTATGTGATTTCCATCTGGGTTTGAAGACTCGGCAATTTGAGCAATAAAAGGATAAAAATATAGTAACATAGAATGTGACGGCAGATAAGAACCATTCGGCCCATCTAGCCTGCCCAATATTTTGCAATACTTTTAATTAGTCCGTGGCCTTATCTTAAGTCTAGGATAGCCTTATGCCTATCCCACGCATGCTTAAACTCCCTCACTGTGTTAACCTCTACCACTTCAGCTGGAAGGCTATTCCATGCCTCCAGTAGACGTTCATTTCCAGTTGCTCATAGAGACTTCTGAAAACAGGCTACAGCTAATTGCTATGGGTTTCTATTGTTCATTTTATTTATAAAGCATATTCCGCGGCTCCATACAGCAGGTATTGATCTAGTTGGGATAGTCGTGTGTACGAAATGTAATGTAGCTGGGCCATTTTGTTAGATTTGTCAACCTGAGATGATATAGCCCTGCATTAAAAAATAAGACAAACCATAAATGTAGCAATATATATGTCGTCTTTTGAACAGACAATGCCGGTTTCACAGTACAGTTTGGGGGAGACATTGCACTGCTCCAGATACGTTGTGCCTAATTCCTGCAGCCGTGGAAGTATAACATAGGATTGCAGTCCTTTTCCTGGATCTTGCTCCCTATATATAAATGCCGTGTTTAGTTTAGCGATAATTAATGCTGTTCTTTGTGTGTGTTTACCTCATCTTCTGGCTTGTGCTCGCTTACTGTGTTTACCTCATCTCAGTCATGCCTTCATCTCGTTCTTATGGGAAATTAATTTAACTTTTACTGGAAGCCAGTAGCCAAAGTACATAGAGGAATTCATCGTACTGGGTTACCTATCTGAACTGCGGAAAGCCAAGTAACCAAGACACAAATGTTTAACACTTTGGAGCCTATATATATATATATATATATATATATAAACTGTCAGAAACCATGTGTTCAATTAAAAGCATCCACTTCACTAATATCAGTTGTAAAGCAAAATACTTGTACTGTCTGTTTTCTACTCTCTGCTTGTGCCAAATTTGTGGTCTCTGTCCCTTTGTAACAACATTGTTCTTTGTGTCTCCTTGTGTTTCTTGCCAATGTGTGCTGTTTCCTTTGACCTTGTGACTGGCTTGTAGCATCCACTGCTCTCACGTTCTTGCAGATTTAGTCTGTCTTGTAGCTCCTGTTCCCATGTGTCATTTCCTTGTCTGTGTTGTGGCTATTTTTCACGTGTGTCAATTCTTGGGTACCTTTTTGTTTACACCTATGTCCCTCTTGTGGCCCACTGTCCGTATGTGCCTTTGCCTGTGCCCATCTTTTCACTGTTTCGGCTGCAATCCCATTGCTTTGTGGCTTTTTAGTACCAGGCCTTAGTGTTTCTTTGTGACTTTTCTTTTGCCAGTACTGCTTTTGTGAATCCGGTGCCCACACACCATCCACCACAAAGATTACTTTTTGATAATTGTACGTAGTGTTGCTCTATTTTGTATGCAATGCATCATTTTCACAGTGTATCTCCTGCCTCCTGTTGTTATAGTGCATTGTCTTATCTCCTTCCTATGGTCCTCCATTCATATGAGTTTTGATAGCTGCCTGTGGGTCTGTCTTTTCTAGTTTTATTGTTCATTTGTTGAGAGCCACATCCAACATACCCAGCATGTTCCTATCAAGGCCATAATTCCCAATTTCATATTTCCTCCCATAGCTATGTATCACCAAGAGCTGCATCTATCCTTCAAGCTGTATCACCCCCTCCCCCCAGCCCCAATTCAAATTCTGTTTCTCCACACATGGAGGAAAGCTCACACATTTTTTTAACAGAACATATAGAAAGCTGGGAGTTCTGATGCTTGGCCACTCAGCTGAGGATGATGCAGTGAATATTTCAGAATTTGTTGCAAAACACGATAAGATGAATGGGGACCTTATAAAGGATAGTGAGGCCTGTCTTGGTCACAACAGTGGTACTATGACAAAAATAATGGGAGTGTTGGCAGCATTTTGGACTGTAACAAGATAGTGAAATACAGTCTGTATTAGACCACAACAAATGTGGTGGAAGTCTGGTCTAAAACACCAAAGTTGCATATATTGGTATACCTGGACAAGTCTATAAATGTGAGGGGAGATTCCAAAATGGTGCTTCATTATGAGTGGTTCCCTTCATGGTTTGATTATTTTCTTGAATTTCAACAAATTGCTAGCTCCGGACACATTAACCACAGTACAAAAAAAAAAAAAAAGACAGTAACCCAGACAACCAGTGGCTGGGTGGAGAGCATGGCATTTCCAGTGATGTTAAACCAGCTGTGCTATGTAAATGGATATGGCAGTACCTCCATTGGCAACAGAGTAAAGCGTAAGATTAAGCTTAATGAAGGAGATGTGTGAGACAAGATCTAGTGATATTGCCAACAGTGGGAGAGGAATGCAATTTAAAGGTGAGGCAGGAAATAAAGAATTTGCTTTAAAAATGAAAGTGGCTTGTCACTGGATTCCTGCAAATTGGAGGGGGGGGAGGGGGAAAGGTGGAGGGGGAACCTGCATTTCTTGGAAATTAGTAAAATAGGAAACATATTGTTCAGATCAGATGACAGTATGGGCTGGGGACTGTACGCAGTCTATGTATAGTGTACTGGGGTTAAGAACCATTCTGTTACCGCCTCAAAAAGGCAATGAGCATGTTTTCAAAACTGCAGTACATTTAACCCCGAGATGGCTAGGAGTGTACCTTTCGGGCGTCTATGGTTCACCGTCTTCTGCTTAACACTGCACAGCTCTCCCACTTGGCACCTCAAGGGTTAAATTATTAACCAGGTCACTGCCAAAAGATAACTGTCCAGACAGCAGACATGGTCATCAGCTTCTCTGTTTGTGCTCTTGGTGTTCTGCATTCTGTCAGCAGATAACCACACGATGGGATTTGGTGGAACAGTTGTATTATAGCATGCAGAATTAATGTTTGTGTGTTATGTTTATTAGTGAGTGGTGACGTGGTGCACTGAAGTGTTTACTCGTTGAATACAAAGTACATCCCTAATGACTGTGTGACTGCTTTGTTTGTAAAACGGAGTCCTGGTTTGGTATTAGTAATGAGATTTCGAGTTGTGAAACGAGCCAGTCTGTGTGTGGCGATTCTCGCTTGGATCCATATTTAGCAAGGACAGCGTGCAGGAATTAGTCTGAAGTAATGCAGAGACATTTATATTTTACATCTTGTGTAAAGACACTTCACAGATATTGAAACTTGTCTTATAGCCTTCTGCTCGGGTTTTTTTTCATTGCTCTCACTAGAGTTCTATGTTAAGCTGTTGCAAACATTCCAAAGAGTGAATTGATAATTGGTTTATCAGATATTTACATGCGCTAAACTCTCACAGTTCGTTACACCCTACATCATTAAAGGTTAAAGAGGAAGTGCAAATGTAAACCGTCGATAAAGGTATACGCAAATGTGTTTTTAAAAATTTATATTGAAAACACAGTAGCAATTAAATGATACACAAGCCCAATGACAAGGAAGAATAGAACAAGGGGCCACAAGAGTGGACGTTATTCAAAAATGTGTATTAAAGGGACTCTCCAGTGCCAGGAAAACATCCGTTTTCCTGGCACTGTGGACCCTGCAATGCCCCCCTCCCACCCACCACCCCCTCTCCAGTGCCAGGAAAACATATCCGTTTTCCTGGCACTGTAGACCCTACAATGCCCCCTCCCACCCACCCCCCCTCCAGTGCATTATTCAATGCTTTCCTATGGGGATTCCGGCGACGCTGAAGGTCCTCATGCATAGTGTGAGGACCTCCAGCGTCATTTAAAACACTTTTTGTGTTCTAAGAACACGGAAATCCATGGAATTAATTATTGCAGTTTATAAAAACTCCAATAATTACACTTGCAGGGTTAAGTGTGGTGGGAGTTGGCACCCAGACCACTCCAATGGGCAGAAGTGGTCTGGGTGCCTGGAGTGTCCCTTTAAGCAAAGACAGAAACAATGTAAAACAGGGCAATAATTTATAATGAAATAAAGAGAAAATTTCAAAAGATAAAAAATGTACTGTCAAGGATTGACGAAACTGTGACCATCTTACATGGTCTTGCCAGTCCCTCCTTAGGATTAACCCCCCCCTTTTTTTTTTTTTAATAAACATAGCAAAATCATTCAATTCAAGAGAGCAAATGAAAAAGAGGAAAATAGAGATGTACAGTGACCAGAAGATTAGTTTATGGCATGTGATGTAAGTTCTAGAGTTGGGTATGGGCAATTGGGCAAAGCTGTCCATGATTTAGGGGCAATGTTAACTCCAAGAGTCACACCAAGTTCACGAAATGTGGAGATAAAAGCCACGTAACTCCACAACCCCGAAATCACTTAGGGTATGATGGATGTGTATGCTGCAGCCAAGGTGAGGGGTGGGTAGGGAGGAAATAAAACCTTGCCAGAAATTTGAGGAGTTTTTTTCTCAAGGTGCACACAGTCACCTGGAGCTGTTATCAAATATAATGCTCCATTCCTCCAGGTCCAAGGACTCACAAACTCGGTATCATTTAAAGGAACACTATAGTCACCAAAACAACTTTAGCTTAATGGAGCAGTTTTGGTGTAGATCATGTCCCTGCAGTCTCACTGCTCAGTCCTCTGCCATTTAGAAGTTAAATCAGTTTATGAACCCTAGTCACACCTCCCTGCATGTGACTTGCACAGCCTTCCTAAACACTTCCTGTAAAGAGTCATCTAAAGTTTATCCTTCCTTTATTGCAAGTTCTGTTTAATTTAGATTTCCCTATCCCCTTCTATGGTGTTAGCTTCCAAGACCCTGCAAGAGCCTCCTGTATATGATTAAAGTTCAATACAGAGAAATAGTTACAATTGTTTAAGGTAAATTACATCTGACTGAAAGTGAAACCAGTTTTTTTTGTCATGCAGGCTGTGTCAATCATAGCCAGGGGAGGTGTGGCAAGGGCTGCATAAACAGAAACAACGTGATTTAACTCCTAAATGGCAGTGAATTGAGCAATGAAACATGAGAAGCATGATCTATACACTAAAACTGCTACATTAAGCTAAAATTGTTTAGGTGACTATAGTGTTCCTTTAAGCATATATAAAATTAAATTACAATAAATTCATAAAGAAAAAAAAATAGTGCTCAAAATATGTTATTTTATTTGGTAAGCGTTTACAGAAATTGTGTAGAGGGTGTCGCAAAGTCTTTATGAAATGTAACTCAGTCTAGTGTGTAGTTGAACAAATATGACTTTCACTTCCTATGCAAAACTATGGAACTAACATTACGTAAACCCTGCTCAATGCCACGTTTACACATTTATTGAAGAATGCAGAATCCTAATATAATTTGCAATATATGTAAATTTATTTTATTTATTTATAAAATATTTTACCAAGAAAGATACATTGAGATTTCTCTCGTTTTCAAGTATGTCCTGGGTAAATGTTAGGACTGTTACTACAACACGGAATATGTGCATTTTTTTATTTTATTTTTTTATTTTTGCAGTGCATATATGTATAACAAGCATGCAGGTGGTACCCCGACGGCATTCCACGTGCTTATTTCAGAACATTTATAACAGGGGTATATGCTAACAATGCACAATTTTATGTAGTTATATATAGGTTGAAGATTATCATGTTGGAGCATATTTTCACACAGATTATACTAGGACAAGCATGTATATTGCAAACTTCCTGTTACGTCTATGTGTGAGAAGGTGTATAAAGATTTATAGTTGCTAGTGTGTTCACATGCAGGTAAACCAACAGCCATCTAGTGAGTTTTAACTATGCTTAGGATGCCACATTAGATTGTGTTAGCTAGCACTTAAAATATTACTTATCGATCACTCAGCAAAGGGTATGGGTATAACAGGTTAATGGTCGTTACTGTAAGTTTAGCCAGCAATCAGAAAGCAGTTTGTGCGTCAGGAGGCATATTCGGGGAAGTCCAGCGATATGCCTGACAATTGTCACGGTCACCTTCATCCGATCCCCTCTGGGCTCGCACTGGGAGTCGCCATCCCCTGTGGTGTCAAGGACATACGTGCGTGTAGAAGTCATGCATCCGGCATTTGGTGATAGAGGTTTGCATATTGGGGGGGTCGGCGCTTCCCTGTTGGGCAGGTCGCTTCGGCACCCCTCCGGAGTCGTGGCCGCTTGAAGCGGAGGTGAATGTGGGGTTGAGAGCTGGCTCTTCGTTGCCGCTTGTTCCGCCGTCTGCGCCTCTTAGGGGAGCCGCCGATAGTAACCGTTCTGCGTCCGCTCGTAGGGCTGGAGGTCTCTGGAGGTATACTTGCAGGAGTGGTCAGTATAGTTGAAGCAGTGTGCAGCTTTCTCTCTGCTATCTTAGCCCAGAAGGCAGCAAATATTTCGTTGAGTTTGGACAGAGAGTGATTCGCTGGATCTCCGCTGGCCCCCATAACTGCCGATTGGCACGTGGCATCCGCCATATTGGAGTCGGTGGTCCTTGGGTCGGACAGTCTTTGGGGCAAACAATCGGTATGCTGTTGGTGCCGGGATATCCCTCACCGGCAAGGGGGGGGGGGAGAGGGAGGCTCGTGGGTGGTCCTCTGCAGCTTTAGGGTCCGTTTCTAGGGAGTCTCGGGCTGGGTGATCGGCCGCCTCACCCTCGCCTTTGTCTCTACCCAGGTTGCGGGTCTAAGCGTCGCAGTAGGCCCCAGCGATATGTCTCGAGTTCCCGGTGTCTGAGTCGTACTTGCGGTTTCGTTGCAATCTCCTTTGCATCCTCTACATGGGTGGTGCAATTTAACGGAGTTTGTAGCTTGTTAGCCGGGTTATTTTGGCATAAGTTGTAGTTTCAGACGGGAGCTCGTGCTACCCATGTCTGATCAGCTCCACAGCCAGGCTCCGCCCCCAATATGTGCATTTTTACAAAACCAGGAATGTCACAATAAAAGGGGATATGTATCACAGATAAACACATTTATTTAACTACACAAAGATAAACATGGGGATCTAGGCCAGAGCGCAGGTAACGTTTTTCTTTGTTTTTACTATACATTTATTTAACTGATCACTTTGAAAGAGAAAAAAAACAACGTAACGTTGCTCCAGAGGTGCAATTAACTCATGGATGCTAATATTTGATTAAGGAAGATATGATCTGCATGGGTTGGATCTTGGCAAGAGCTTTGCTAGGGTCAGAAACACACCTGGGATGTGAACCCAAAAATAATCTGGGGACCCCTGGCCACACAGGCAGGCACACGCTGACAGGTACATACAGGCACACACTGGCTCTGTACCCTGGTTGAAGGAAAGGGAGACAACCAGTCAATGTAGACTGTGGCCGCAAGCCTTCTGTAGGTGGAGCAAACAGACTGCTGCTCCATGCACTTTATTGGACTCCTAATAAAGTAGTCACTAAAATGAAATGATAAGATGTATACAGAGGAAAATAATAGCCATTTGTATGCACTTATGCAGAATTTAGAAAACAGCCATTTTGTTGGAAGCTATCTTTGTTTAGGACAAATAGTGGTTGAAATAAAATAGCAGATGAAGTTGAACCACCAGTAAAATGTACCTTCTATGTCTACCTGACAGATGGCATTCGTCCAGGTCTTGTAATGTATACCGCAGATGTGCTCGGTATGAGTGTGCGATATAATGCAGAGTGTGTTTCCAAGGAGTGTGTGTGTGTATAATGCAGATTGTTTGTATGAGTGTGTGTATAATGCAGAGTGTGTGTTTGTATGTGTGTATATAATGCAGAGTGTGTTTTCGTATATGTGTGTATAATGCAGATTGCCAGCTGAGTGTGTGTATAATGCAGAGTGTGTGTGTGTATAATGCAGAGTGTGTGTGTGTGTATAATGCAGAGTGTGTGTATGGAGTGTGTGTATAATTCAGAGTGTGTGTATGAGTGTGTGTGTATAATGCAGAGTGTGTGTATGAGTGTGT